CAAAAAATTGGACTTTGTGAACCAAACAGAACATTGGGGTTTTATAAACCAAAACAGAACATTGGGAACTATACAAATCAAAACATAACACTGGGGGTTTCTAACCAAAACAGAACAGGGGGACTCCACAACCCTAAAAAAACAGGAGGATGTACAAATATAAACAGAACATGATGATGTAAAAAACCAAAACAAAACAAGGGAGCTTTATATGCTGGGACATTTCAAACCATACAAAGAAGATACGAACGTAACGAACAAAAACAGCACATTCGGACATAACAAAGAGAACGTTACAGACCAAAACTGAACATGAGGATGTTGTAACCAAAACAATTGGACGTTACAAATTTGCTTTAAGAATGTTATGAATGACAAATAATTCTTTCTTACTGAGTCAAATCCTTGGAAGCCTCCATGGACTTGATTTTGTCCTTCATTGGCCGACACATTGTGTTCCACTCCATCAATTGTGAAACGTGCTCCCTTTAAACGTTCCGTTATACGACCGAGTGCTGCTCCGATGTAGGAATGCCTGGCCTCGTATTCTAAATAGTCGTAAATTTGTTATATTGATTTTCAGAGTAATTTAAAATCAAAAGTATACCTACATTCCAAGAAATCTTTAAGACAGAGGGAAATTACGTTTATTTTTTTCTAGAGTTGTAAAATTCTCTTTCCAAACGTGAATCATAGTTTCAGTGTTGCCAATTTACTGTGATTAATAACTGAGCAGATTGTATGTTCATAATGAAAGTACAAGATACACTATAATCCTATTTTTACGTCATAACAAAGTAACTTGATTGGTAAAGAATTAGATAAACTTCCACTTCACTAGAGAGAGTCTAAAATATGGAAAATTGGAAGACAGCTAAGTCTTTTAACTGAGTTATCTAAAACCTAAACTTGTGTTTTATAGAACTCTTTAATCAGTAATAAATACCAATATATCGCATTCAACACGGTTTATTGTGCTATGATTAGGAGAGAGTATTTGTGAAAACTTAATGTAGTCTAGCAGAGTTAATCATTTTTCCCAATTTCATTTATTTTGAAGTTAGTGAAAATTTGAATTTCGTCTGTGCACAATTGTAAGAGTGCCACAATAGCCCTTTGGAGGGACTTTGGAGGGAGATAACTGTCTATAGATTTTAAGATCGATCACTGAGTAAGTGAATGCAATATCGTACATCTATCTATCCAAATTGGATTGCCATACACATAACATGCATAATGACATACTGTACTACAAATCATGAACTCTTAAAAAAAAAGTTACTCCGCCAAGACAAGTTACAAATGTATATAATCTTTTGATCAAGAAAAAGAAAACAAATCGATTCCACAAAAATTACATTATTCGTCGAAACATCAGATAAACACGAACTGTTTTGGCTTACCTGATGCTGTATCGAAGCCTAAGCTAATATCAACAATTTTTCCGTTTTTGTCCGGCATCAGGATGTCAGTTATTGTGGCTCCGTAGCTGATAATTCTGACAGTAACATTGTTCTTGTTGGTAAACGTAAATCTGTGAAAAGAGTTTTAAGTAAATCTTTGAAATACTAAATTATCTATGCACAAAATACTTGAAATCAGAAATGAAGAAATTCAAAATTTCATAATTAGATACTAAGTAAAACTTAGTTTATCGGTTGTAAGGTAGCCTCAGATGTTAGCAACTTTACAGTAACTTCATGGCCGTAGGAACCGGGGGGGGGGGGGGTGCCCCCCCCCCCCAATAATTTTTCCGATATATAAATTACTATAGGAAACATAGAGCTATGTGCTTGTGCCTCCTCAATAATAACGTCTGATGACTTTTTTTTTTTTTTTTTTTTTGCTTGTCAAGGAATTTTGGAAGTTGATAGTGCCCCCTCAACTAGAAAATGTATGATTGTGCCCCCTCAAAGTGAAATTGCTTCCTACGGGCCTGAACTTTGATTGTACACATTGAAAAAAAGAAGAAGAAATACTGGAATTTAGTCGAACACTTCTTTGTCTTTGAGCGATTCTTAAAGTGAATCGTAAAATGCAATTACTTAAATATGTGCTAGCATTTTAGAATTTGATCAATTAGTAATATCATTAACGTGTTCTTGAAAATTTATAAAGAGGGTGAGTATCAGCAGGAAAAGAGAGTTTGAACGACTATAAAACAAAATCAAACGCTGATCTTCTATCTCGCCAGTCTGATATATCAGTTCCTACAAACCTTATATCCTTGAAATGTGTTATTTATGTAGCAGCAATCAAATAAAAAAGAACTGATAGTGCCTTCATGCTGTGATTGCCAAACACAAATCATTTTTTAGAAGGGAAAACCCAGTGTTTTGAAATCGAATGGAAAATCCTATATTTTTTCATCTCCTCAGTCATTCGTTTTAAAATATTTAAGTTATAACCATGCTTTCGTGTCACTGAAAGGTTCCCCTCTTGAAGATATATTCGAGAGACAGAAGTCTTTTCTTTAAGAGCATATATCCTTTCATAAGAGAGCTATTTTTTTTATTGCAGCATTGGTAGGAATAAGTGCAATCGGAAGCCGAAGTGTTGCTTTTCAGCATTCATCAAGTAAATAGGAAAAAAGATAAATGCGCTGCAAGCTATGCATAACGTAAATTACAGTGAAAAAAGTATTATTTATTGATTATGAAAATTAATTTAATTGATAATCTTATCAAGCTTTGTTTAAAAAACAAAAAAAAAAAACAAATTGAGACTCGTGTTTTACATATTGGCTATACATTGTATTTCAAAAGAGAAAAGGAAATATTTACATGTATATAGAAATGGAATATTTGTATGTATACATGTACATTGTTTTTAGCATACAGAAAACAGAAGCGAATTATTTTAGAGTAGAGATCGTCAATCTTATAGATGCATTATCATGATGGTGGTTAATAATTTATTGGTTATGAACTTAGCAGTGAAATTCATGACCCAGGGTCAGGGGTTGTGGAGTTAGAGTGGAACTCAAAAGATCATACAGAGAAAATGCATAAATTCTTTTGAAAGCTTCTCTTTCCTTGTATATTTAGCTGAGAAACTACTGTAAGTGCATGGTTATGATGAGCAATAATTTACCTCAAATAGTTTTGATGTATACAATTTATCTTCACTTGTGGTTTTACGTACAATAGTAATATAGTAAACTCTGTTAGAAAAGGCATTTGACATGTGATATTTCAATGTAAAATTAAAGAAAACTATTTATTTCATTTTATTGTATATCCCGAGGCTACGTGTTTATATTCTCCGGATAATCTGTTCTTTTGCTAGTAAAAATTTATATTTTTTTAAAGCCCTTTTACCGATGAGACTGAACTTTTTAAACAATTTGATCGCCATCTTGTACAATGTATGCGATTTTTCTAAGTTAGTTCAATGACATTGCCGAATATTATCGTTATACATTAAGTGCCATTCTTACAGATATAACATTCAGTATTTTCTGGGACGACTAACCTTTTCACTTTTCTGCCGTCCTTGATATTACCAAATGCTTCTTCTGTTGGGATGACTAGGGAAACTTCTGTTTGAAGAAATAAATATTTACTTTCAATGATTGAACCATCTGCATGAAATAAAACATACATACAAAATGAGACCATTATTCCTCTCTGCAAAAGATTAGGAGATAGTAGTTTACAAAAAGATTATTGATATCTTGCTCACCAGACTTGGGTAATGATTCATCCATTGTGCAGCAATAGAAAAATATAATCAATTTCTAAATGACCCTCAATATTTTATTATATTGTACTAGTTTGAAAACTTTGAGGTCTTTGAATTCTTTATCTTGAGGGGGAGATAAGGTCTAGTGACCTGATTAAATTGGTCAAAATATCCGAGTTTGCAAGTGAACCATATTTAGTTTGTATGAAAGTTCTCTTGCTCAACAAAAATGACAAGATTTGCTTTCACAAATCTGAGAGATTTTAATTGAGAATACAATGTACTTACGTATAAAATCTTTAAAATCCCCTCGATCTATAGTCATTTAATTTTTATTATCTATTGGAATTAGATATCGGTACAACACCTAACACATCGTGAAAATATGATGTATTTTAAAGAAACCTCCATAAGAAAGACTGTGAGTTAGTAAGTTTTTTTTAATTTCAAAATCACTGAGTATTTTAAAGTCAAGATTTTCATTTAGGTGTACTTTAGTCCTATATAAACAGTAAGTTTCATAACTATCTAAGAAGGCTGGGTTGTCAACGATTTACCCAACAGATCCGCGTAAAATATGAAATATTAATTTCTGGCCATAAATTATTATTTATAGTAAAGAAAAAAGCATCTTCCAGCTATTTTATAAGGAAATTCCCTATACTCTTATTACATAGCTCTTACTTTTCAAGAGGTTTATATATAATCTAAAATGGTCCTCTTAAAAGAAAGGCTAAATAATGTCTAGTGTAGTCAGAACTGTAAACATACGAAGTTGTTACATGTAGATTTTTATTAATTTTTTTTTAATTTGGATTAAGGTTTTGTATAAATAAAACTGTTGTGGGCATTGTACTTTTCTGTTATTTGCACACTAAGATTCCCCAATCCTAAAATGGACTCATTTTTTATGACAGGAAAGACATAAAATTGTTTTTTTTTATTTCGACAAACGGGGTACTAAGTAGGATTGACCTTAATTCTCTCCGTGCCAGAAGACACATTAGGCTGGTTCCTTATTTAACTTCATTTTATATTAATTCATACATTAAACTACACGAAATGTGTCATCATAAGATAGCCATAGCAGATATTCTTTTAGAATTCGTATTTGAACACGCTTCGATGATTATGAAAACTACACTATACTAGTATATATATACAAACCTTGTTTTTGTGCCGATGTTTTCCCGATGTTATCATCTTCTTTGCCTATGGAGCAAACAGAGACATCAAATGACGATAACATTCTTAATTTATGCTCTTCTTTATTTTTTTAATTCATTTCTTCACGTTGTTTTGCTCATCAAATAAGAAATAAGACCCCCATGCTGCTATATTTCAAGAGCTAGATTAGTGGAAATCGTGTTTCCAAGTTATATAATAATCTGTAAAATGTTCGCTATAATATCATTTACAGGGAGATACTGCGTCATTGCCAAACTAAAAAAAATCTAATTCGTAGATAATGAAATAAAAATTACTCTCATTCTGTTTCAGGTTGAGTTCCTTGAAAAAGTGGAAAGAAATCAATTTATCGTTTTACAATTCTTATCAAAATCTTAAAGCTATCTAATTTAATTTGGACTTTCCTACTCTTTCTCATTACGGAGTATTATAAGTTCATCGTCACCCTGTTCACTTATATAGAATTAATTAGCCATCCCCCTTCCAAAGGAAATCTAATTTATAATTAAAATGCACATTCAGCATACCTTGCTGGGCATAATATGACAAAAATGGTCTTTTAATAAAATTTGACAAAATGTATATAGAGATATAATGTCATTTATCCTTAACTGTCAGAGTTATCTCTCTTATCAGAGGGTAGGTGAACCTTAATATATCCCATATAAGCTAGGCATACGATACTTTGATAAGCAAATTAAATAATGCTTAGATAGAGACAATACTAGTAATTAAAATTCTTAAAAAATCACTTTTCCTTTAAATGGTTGAACTTTCGTCAATATTGTACCTACCAGAGAAATGAACAGCTACGCCAATAACCACGGCGGCCACGCAGATAAAGGCAACCACGCCCACTATGATGGGGACACGCTTACTGCTTCCGACAGGGTTACCCTCTTTAAAGGCGAAAATAAATAATTATGTAAAAATCATTTTCATGAATAAATACCATCTTTTTCTATGATAAACAATGGTAAATCTCAAAGTGTCTGGGGCTATTTTTCAAAACTTTTTGCCTACAAGAAATACGGCAAATCCAAGGGTACAATAGAAGTACCTATTACTTCTGCATGATGCTCCAGTAAGAAATCCATTGCTCACATCAAAGATGTACGTACAATATGCGTACAATATGTCAAACGTGGACAGATGTAAATATCAGTCTGCTTTTCTTGGGAAAAAAATGCACTTGTTCTTTTTTTCGGACTGCAAACATGATTGTGGTTTGATTAAACATTTTGAACATACAGGCTTGTTGGAGATTTTTATAAAGTATTTTGGAATCATTGCGTGTCCCTTAGAATCCCTTGCTTCCCCCGTTTTCCTAAACCTTATCTTGTCCTGTTTGACGTATTAACAACAATTATATCTACATCGTCTTTAAATTCCACGTCGAACATTTTTTTTTAAATTAAAATGAATTTTCTTTCGCTACTTAAATTTGCGGGAATTATTTGCATGACGTCTGAAGATACAAACCAAATTCAAAACCGGACTATTTTGACATATTTGTGAAATTTCCTTAAACGCTTTGCTTTTATAGGAAATATAATAAGATTTTTTTTTCAACCCATAAGTATTCACTGCATTATTTTCAAGTTAGCGGGTGGTTTTACAATCATTCTTGTTTAATATTATAGATTTTTGAAATAGATACCCAGTGCGCTGTCCAATTTAACATTGATATTACGTGTGCCTCAAACTGGTCGAAAACTTTCAAACTGTCAAGTTTTACTATTTATTTTTGTTTCTTATCATGGTATGAACGTCATTGTATATTGTATATTTGAATGGAGTTCTTATGGAAATTGGCATTTTCCTGTTGATATATTGTGTAGATCCTAATAAACCAAAAATAAACTATATAAATCAACATAATGGTCAGACAGGAAGCAACTAGGTAGATCGCGGACTTCATTAAAAACGATTTACGATTAGATAGATTTGATTTAAAATATATTTAGAAACATTCTAAGTTAACTGGTTCCAAAACAGGGTGTTGGTAAAAGTCAGCTTACCAAGTCTGATCTTATGTTATCTTCATCAATCACTACGTTGATTGCTAAGTAACGAAAGAAAAGTTATATATCCACTCAAAATCAGGAAAAACAAAACTGCGCACACCACCTTCAGATATAGTAATGCTTTGTATTGTAAGAGATAGGGAAGTTAACCATATTTCTTACAACTCCATTAATTAGTACTCACATATGTCAGATCTTAGAGATGTAATTTCAAGTACATACATATAAAGATTGTCTTATCTTTGAGCATTTGAATCATGCAACTGCATTTGCAACCACGAGGGCATGTGCAGTGATTGAGTTGAAGACTTGTTCGCATTTTTTTTATAATGTTATTTTCAAAACAATGGTTTTCTGACAAAACCAGGGGCAATGACATTCATAGAGTACACAAAGTACATAAATTAAAATTAATTCATGCATACAGTTAGTAGGAATTAAAATTAAACAAAAATTCCACTGCAAACTCACCTGCATCTGACATGGTGAATAAGATGATTAGAGAAATGAATCCAGTAGATCAGACCACTTAGCACCAGATGAAAACCTCCAAGAGATTGTCTACAAGAAGGAAAACATCGACTAATTGAAGTTAAGCGTTAAAATAACAACGGAAAAGGTATTCAACTTTCAACAAAAAACACACTTGACCTACCTTTTGATTTCACGAATCGGCGAAAAATCTGCTTCTGTGAGCTATATTATCGCGAACGCTTTTGATCGAAATAAAAAAACTCGACAGTTGCAATCAGCTGTGCGTTCTCATTTATAGCATATTATATAAGTATTGGTGGGAATTTCAGAAACGCCCATGGATTGCACTTAAGTATAACGAGAAGTGATGCGTGTATGTACATACGTGATCTAAATCTGTTGCATGCTTCGGTTCTCCCGTTTCTAAATTAATCGAGTTTTTCTTTGAATAGAAATTTGTTAATTGATCTATTTTTCCATTTGGTATTTCTGTCGTTTTCATTTTTGAACGACATAGGACGTATTCTTCTATCCCGCTATCATATTAATAATTTCACGTACCTGCATGGCCATAGGAACCGGGGGGGCATGGGGGGCCGTGCCCCCCCCCCAATAATAATAATTTTTCCGATATATAAATTACTATAGGAAACATAGAGCTATGTGCTTGTGCCCCCTCAATGATAACGTCTGATGACCTTTTTTTTTTTTTTTTGCTTGTCAAGGAATTTTGGAAGTTGATAGTGCCCCCCCCCCAACTAGAAAATGTATGATTGTGCCCCCTCAAAGTGAAATTGCTTCCTACGGGCCTGACCTGTACATTTTCTGTTATATCATAACATTTATGGATATTTAATTTCATTACATTTCAACCTTATCCACATAAAAAAAATGCTACATATATAACATTTGAAAAATGGTTCCCTGAGAAAGGTGTGATTTCTCAGAGGTATTTTAGTGCTTTCTACTTGTTTTTCTTTGAAAACTAAATATAAATACAAATACGTGTGTGTGTATAAAATTAACGAAGGAGAAAACATGTGCAGTCCTTTTTCGTGACAATGTTCCATCATGAACATATTTTTATCGAGTATTCAAAACTTGAGTTGTTAAAATTACCGAAATTTTGACTGAATGCTGGCTGGACAAGGAATTAAAAAGTGTCGATTTGTGCTATCACTTCTTTAAATTCTTTTTATTATGCATAAATTAATAATCAAAGGTTTATACTTAGTTGTCTTTTTTTTTAGTGGAAAAATGTTATGAAATCCGTGTTGCATAGTTAATTATGTTAATAAAGTGCTTAATTAATAAAAGATTCACAAAGTACCGATATGTGCCATTCCCAGTACATGTAGAAGGGGTGGACTTCGATTGTCTAATTCATCGGGACAAGCATTTCCTGCATCAAACCCATGGCTGTATAAGGCAGAAATCCTTAGTACATGTACAAAAAGATTGAATCTTTTGTTTTAAACTATAGTTTAAAAGATAATAATCAGTTTTCTTTTTTTAAAAATCAAACAAAAGGAGACGGGTGAACATGACGAGCGATAAGCCTATAGTGTGACAAACATGAAGATGAAAAATTAAATTTCTATTATATCAAAATTTTCCTTGATATTTCGTCTAACATTAAAATATACTTTATGTAAAATCTCTACAATTTGCAAAAATCCCTCAGAGTTTGAAATTATTTGCCTGTGAAATATTAGACACACACTAAAGCGGGCAAAAAGAATCATTTTCGCATACTATAACACTATTTTTCGATATGAGTGGGTCTTCGCTCCACCGTTTTGAATGTTAATCCTCAAAGTTTGCATAAAAATATACATTTTTTGCTTACCAAAAATATGGAGCAATGACCCACTATACTTTAAAAATATACTTTTATGACACAACATTCGCATCTTTTCGAGAAATACTTAAGTCCATTAAGTCAAGGGTCATATCACAAACATGATTTAAATGCCACTGTTCGTCAGGACTTGTGTAGTCTAGTGTTTAGCGTGCTAGTCTCGAAAGAAAATGATTCTCAGGATTTTTATTGCTAGGGTTCGAACCCCACGAATATCACATTAATCTTTTTAATAAAAGAATAAATTTTGCCGAGAAAATTTTCCTCAGAAGAGTTTTGTTTATCACAATTATATAAATTTCAATAATGAGAACTTTACTCTAAATATTAAATTCACAAATTGAACATGATTTTATATTTCTGAAGCTAGTATACTTATTACGTTGCACGGCAACTGCATCATGGGTATGATGAGATCGAGGTTGAGTTTTGATCCCAATAATAAAATTTTAACGACTCCTGAACATTACAATTTCTATGAAAGTTATACTTGTGAATTGCATAGTTTTTCTTGTTGTGCCTGCGTGTATTAAATCTTGGTCTGTGGCTTTAAGGAGATGACATAAACATGTAATGATTGATTGATTGTTGTTGTTTTACGTCCCGTTCGAGAATTTTTCACTCATACTTAAAAACTGAAACCATATACCGGTGAAGGGCTTCAAATTTAGACCTTTACTCGACATTCAGTGCCATTGAGCAGTTAGGGTTCTTTGTCGTGCTAACGCCTACCGTGACACGGGGCCTCGCTTTTTAAGGTCTCATCCGAAAGACCCGCAACTTTCACATCAAAGTGCCGAGAGCTTAACAAGGAACAGTTGCTACCTATTTTTTTATCGACTTAGGTCAGTCGCGGCGGTGATTTGAACACACGACCTTCCGATCACGGAGCGAGCGCTCTACCGATTGAGATACCGTGACGGTTTCACATGAAATGAGCTGAGTTAAGATCTTTTCAACGATGCAATAAAAAATTTACAAACCTATATTGGCTGTGTCTGCATTTTGAAAATTCCCGAAAACTGTACATATTTATTCCCCGCAATGAACTATGAGAAGTTTTACTGAAAATCAATGTGTCCGTCTGTCTAGCTGTCCGTATACCTTTGCCGTATCTTAAAGATATCCAAAACAAACTTGTAGATGCCGTGCATCTGTGAAAACTTTATAAGATGCATGTTTTAATTGCTCCCACGGTTGTGGGGGGATAGAGTGGGTCTTTTTGTCAGTCCCTCAAAGATTTAACTCTAGATTTAACTAATGGCATTGGGTGCTGCTGCGTCATCCGTATTCTACGGGCACATCTAGTTTCTCGCTGTGAAAATATATTCTTATACATGTATTTCATAGATACTTAAGACAAAGCTCTAGATAGTGACCTTGAATTTCTACATACTTACGGCTTTAAGGAAATCCCGCATACTTAAATACTGAAACCTAAATAAAAGAGGTTCCACGAATCTCAATAAAAGTTCCTCGATGATGTTTTTAATCTGTATTCCCGACGTCTATTTTCAACTACATGCAATCATGATTTTTGTGGGTAGGGCTTTGCGTATTACTTAAACTGGTAAAATGTGTTGCTAAGTACGATTGAGACGATACTGGAAAATGGGTATAAATTAAAATATTTAACTTTTTTTCTTGGCATCGACAAAGATAAAATAGTATGAAATTTTCACAGATGTGCTACAGCAAAGTTCTTCTAAGGATTAAAGTTCGTAAATTGTAAATATGATCCCCCCCTCCCCCTGGATTATACTAGCAAGCTTTATCGGTTTCTCTTAGTATCTGTTTTATCATCGTAGATAGAAATGTGAAATTATAGAAATGGAAGTAGAAAGCATGAAAGTTACTTTTCTTCCTTGAAAATTGGAATTAAAAAAAATAAAATTGACGTTCTTTCTTACAGATCTTAACATAAACGTACAGAATGATCAAAATAAAAGTTTCGATATTAATCTATCTGTGCATCTCAAATTAAAGGTAATATTTTTTTTTATTTTATTGCCGGAATAAACCAGCAAATGGACGGTTTAATATTTAATAAATATGAACATATTCCAAGAAAATCTTTGTTAAATATTGTAATGTGCTACAAGAATTTGGCAAATGTAGTCCAAAATACAAAGACGGACCATGCATGTTATACATGTGATTGGTTTTTCACTGTATATTGAAAGTGGTCTTTAAAAATGAAACTGGCGATTCCACTGGTAATAAGGGCCCCTTCACAAACATGAAGTTTGTTGAGAGCCAGTTTGGGCGATGTTCAACTTGTCCGGACTCTGTGTGATCTCTTACAGCCTCGAAAAGTCAGTATCTGTGAAAATTTAAGCTCTGAAAGGGGGGGGGGGGGGGGCTGGCAAAATTTTTTCTAGTCAGATTATTTATTTCCATGGCAGTCAGGGAAAAATAATTTATTTTGAAGATGATCAATGATAGAGTATTTATTTTCTTCCTTACTGAAAAAGTTTGACAAGCAAAAAAATATTTTTTGAAACAAAGTTAAAACGTTCAAACTCTAAAACTCTATTTCGTTTGGGGGGGGGGGGGGCAACATAAGTCAAGGGCAGATTATTTATTTTCTTGCCAGTCAAAGACAGTTTATTGATTTTCAACTTTTTCGAGGACAGATTATTTATTTCCAAATTCTGCACCTCCATCCCTCTTCAGAATCAAATGGTCGTCCCCTTTTAGGGATATCATGATGAAACGATTGTTCAAAAAAATATGACGATATATCGCGATATTTCATGGCAATTTGTCAAGATCACTTAACGATCTAGGAACGCAAACAAGCAGGTCCCTCAGACACTGACGGTTATATGTACATTGCTTTCTGTGTCAACCTCCGAGAGTTTACATGCTTAGCATTGCTTTGCAACCAATTAAGATCATCCATACTGTAGAGCTACGGAGATTGCTAGGGGATCAAATGCGACCAAGAGAGATTGCTGTAAGACCGAAAGAGTCCACTGAGAGATCCTAAGGCGTTCAAACACTATGTCCTTCCAAAGACATCTGAGGGATCATTGGGGAATCTAAGAGATTGTTTGGCGATCTTTCTGCGTCCTTGGAGAACAAGTCTGAGGGATCATTGGGGAATCTAAGAGTTTGTTTGGCGATCTTTCTGCGTCCTTGGAGACCAAGTCTGAGGGATCATTGGGGAATCTAAGAGATTGTTTGGCGATCTTTCTGCGTTCTTGGAGACCAAGTCTGAGGGATCATTGGGGAATCTAAGAGATTGTTTGGCGATCTTTCTG